ACCCTATGGGTGTGAGGTTTGTAGGCCCAAGTCTAGAAAGAACAGAGTCTGGCAAAGCCTGAAGACCCCTGGACGTCCCCAGTCCTACAAAGTCAAGACACTGGCCTACAGTATCTGGAACCAGTAGACAAGGGGACTGGGGGTGCTGCTGAGACTCTGGGAAACACCAGGACTAGCCCAGACAGAGCCTCAATCCCTCCTAGCCCATTCCCCTCCATCCTTCTTGGTCTGAGGAGCCTCCTTGAAGCTCTCCCAGGCTGTCAGCATCAGCTCTAGGTCCCCTGCCTTCACAAAAATGCCCTGGGCAACCTGCAATTCATGCTTTGCAACTCTGCTTTGCTGTCTCTAGAGTATAAATTGGATACAGATGTGCCCAGAACTGAGGATGGGTGGGAAATGAGGAGCTATGAGGGCTGAGGGAGGGGTAACCTTCACAGTCCTTCCTCCTCTGTCGCAGGGTGCATTGCCCACGCTTTGGGGTGAGTCCTAGGCCCATAGTTGCTAATATTCATAGTGGGTGCTCTTTACTGAACACGGGCCATGTGCCAGGCGTTTGCATTGTGCTTTACACACATCATCTCACTGAGTCCTCAGAGAAGAAGTGTCATTCCCACTTCACAGAAATGAAACTGAGGCTTGAGGTTAAGTGACTTGTGTGTAAGGTCCCAAAGCCAGTTAGTTTTCAGGATTCAAACTCAGACTTATCTGGGCCGGCCCGTGGCTCACTCGGGAGAGTGCGGTGCTGATAACACCAAGGCCCCGGGTTCGGATCCCACATAGGGATGGCCGGTTCGCTCACTGGCTGAGCGTGGTGCTGACAAACTCAGACTTATCTGACTCTAACACCCAGCCTTTAATCACTCAGTTGCTGTCGTTGTCACCTCCATTTTGACCAGCCATGCCAGAACTCCCTGGAGCCTGTGAGAGAAACCAGGGTAGAAAAAGGTTGGAAAAAATGGTAAAGTAAGAACAATTGTCAGTTCTGAGTAGCAGGTGTATGGTATTACCCTGTGTACTCTTTCCATATTTTAAAACTTTATCAAAATAAAAATTGTTTTAAAAGAAAAAAGAGCAGGACTGGATCAGAGGATGGGGCCAGAGCTAGAGCTAGGGCCAGGCCCGGGCTGGAGTGGGGCCTGGGCAGGGGCTGGGCTGGCTCAGTGGCAGCCCTTCCACACAAGAACCCCAGTGTTCCCTGGGCCCGGCTGCCATCCAAGAGCAACATGGTTGGCACCAGGCAATGTCTGCCCTCTCCCCCGATGAATCTGCTGCCAGGCAGGTGGGGGGTTGGGCCTGGCCTCAGGAGACCCTCCTGGCCCAGCCTGGCACTCCAGGAGTGCAGAGTCTGCAAACCCCTGCCTAGGGCCTGGTAGTTCATGGGTACCCCATCAGTACTGGCCAAAAGGGCAGGGAGAGCAGTGCCCAGCCCCAGCCCCTACACCTCGCTTTCACACACACTCACCTGCCAGTGAATCTTCACCTTCCTGGGCCACAGTTAAGGATGGGGGCAGAAAGTGTCTAATGTGGTAGCATCAGGGATCCAGCTCTGTGGAGAGTCATCATGAGCTCTCCCTCTTTGCCCCAAAAAGACTAGGGTTCCAGTCTCAGTTCTGCCATTCACTTGCTAGGTGACCTCAGAGAAGTCACTTCATCTGCCTGAGCTTCTGTTTCCTCACCTACAAAACAGAGCTAAGGATTTCCATACCATTAGCCTTGGTGGAAGGATCAAAGGATATAATGCGTGTACAACACCTAGCACATAGTGGGAGCTCAGCCAAGGTGAGGACTTCTTCCCTACTTCCTGTTCTGGTGAAACCCATTCCATCATTCATTTCCCCCAAAACTCCTGGGAAGAAAGAAGCAGGAGTGTGCCCATTTTCTGGACGGAGAAACCGAGGCAGAGGCAAGCTGAAGGCAGGAGCTTTGGATGGCAGGCTCTTGGCTTTCACATCTGCTACGCTAGAGAAAGAGAGAGTGTGTGTGTTTGAACATCTTTGAGAAAGAGACTAAATGTAACTGGTAAAAGATTATTGGTTAGCCAGTGAGAGAGATACAGGCTTGGGTGCCTCTCCCTGACTCCCTCAGCATGTCTTCTGTGCTGTAAGTGTTTACTTCTCTGTCTCTCCCCAGCACAATGTCAGCAGCTCCTTGAAGGGTAGAGGGCGGGTCTGATTCACTGCTTTATCCCCAGGACTTATTGATGGATTGATTGATTTTAATTTTTAGACTAGTCAAGTGTAATAGTGAGAAGGGGGAAAGAATAGAAGTAGTTCGATCTCTAACTGACTGTGAACAATCAGTTGAGATAACTCACCTTTGATAAATATTTGTGAAATGAATGAGTGAATGAATGAATGCCCTCTTAAGAGAGCATCAGACTCTGCCAAGTGTCAGTGTGAGAGGTTGTGAGTGTGGGAGGGGGACAGACAAGGGATGTGGGGGACAATGCCTGGGGACGGGGTAGGAGTGTGGGGTTGTCAGTCTGAGGGACTTGGGCATCTCAGGGGACAAGGAGGTTGCACAACCTGGGATATGAAAGCTTTTAGTTTGCTTTGGCTCAGGTAATGCCCTAGAAGTTGAATGAAAACCATGTGGGGTCCAGCTCCTGCTGGCAGCTCATCCTGTCCCCTAACCATATTCACTAAGGGGAGCCAGCAGAGTGCCAGAGGTGGGGAGTGGAGCCTCTCCAGGAAACCGGGAGGTCTAGCAAGGTCCCCTCTGGGCAGGCAGCTCCTAGGGGCAGGACTCTGGAGGAGGGAATTGGGACAAATTGTTTTTCAAAGATAACCAATTATTTTCCAATTTATCTTTGGGAGGAGACCATTCTTTTGTTTGAGAAGGAAAGAAAAAATTTTTAAAAATCACTTTAATGGGCCTTTTAGTTATGCAGAGATGCCACTATCCCTTTGGGAATGAGGATGGAAAGATCTAAACTCCTCCGCATAACAATGGAAAAGGAAGTTGCTTCACAGGGCAGAGTCTCCACCAGCCTCAGGGGATAACTGGGAGCTGAGTCTGAGACCCAAACCGAAGAGTTTCCTTTCTTCTCAAGGAGGCTTCAGAAGAGCAGAGGGCTTGGACTTCAGGTGAAGGGTGGGCGGAGGAGAGAGGTTGGCTGGCCTCCTAGTTTGGCCAATCTAGATACTCAGGAGAGAAGTGCTTGCAGGTGAGGCGGACCTAAGCCAGGCAGGGGCAGTGCTGTCTGTGGGGCACCTACTATGTGCCAGGCACTTGAGTTATAATGAGAAGGTTTGCAAGCACAATTCCTGCCTTCACAGGAGCTTAACATTTCACAACTATTTACATAATTGACTGTTAAATTACAGTTCTGGCAAACGTGATGAAGAAATGATGGGTCCTAAATAATCACAGCTAATATTACAAAGCAAGTGTTGCAAGCCAGCCTTACACATGTCTACTTTATGCAACAGCCTCTTGAGGATGATACTATCATTTACCCATTTTACTGATGAGAAAATGAAGATAGAGGTAGAGTAACCTGCCAAGGCCTTGTACAATGGTGCTGAGATTTGAGCTCGCACCGCCCAGCCCTGCAATCTGCACTTTGGACCACTTCGCTTCTGTCCTGTCTTCTTTCTGTCTTCTTTCTGTCCTCACAAGAGAGAAGGTATCTAAGGGGGAACCTGGCAAGTCCAGAGGGCTTCCCAGAGAAAGTAAACTGAGACCGAAGAGATGGAATTAATCATACCAAGAAGAGAAAGGGCATTCCAGGATGAGGGATTGGCATGTGCAACGGCCCAGAGTAGGGTAGAAGCAAGAAAAAAGTGAATGAAGTTTTCATCTGGAGATGTGGGCAGGGACCAGGTTATACCAAAAATCTGTATGTAAAGAGCTATGGAAAGCTATTGGAGACTTTAAGGGGGGAGTTGATACAGTCGGACTTGTTTGTTTTTGGCGGCTGGCCGGCAAGGGGATCCGAACCCTTGACCTTGGTGTTACCAGCAACACGCTCTACAGATTTATATTTTAAATATCACTCTCAAAGCTGCTCAGAGAACAGATGAGGGGGTAGAGGATAGGGGCTCTCCTATCCGTTGTACAGCGACTGCGCAAAAGAGACAGTAGCCAGACCAGGCCAAGGTTCTTTCCGTGAGGGGTGAAGAGCAGGGTCTAGAATAGGGCAGGGTGGGGCGAGAAAGGCGGAGTCTGAGGGGGTGTGTAGTAGGCTGGGGCGGGGTCCCAGCATTGGGCTAGCCAAGTCGGCCGCTCTGCGCTGCGGGGCGGGGGCGGGGCTTCAGGTGGGCGGGGCTCTGGGTCGTCCCTGGCCACGCCTCCCTCGGTAGAGCTGGTCCAGGCAGGGCAGGGCCTGAGGTGGGCGGGGCAAGCCCGGGGCCACGCCGCTGTCGCGGGTACATTCCTGGCTCTCCCTCCCGGGTCGGAAGAACGCCCAGGCTGTCTGCAGACCCCGCGGGCGCAGGGGTCGTGGCCGGCCGGAGCTGGGAGTGGGGCGGTAGAGGAGCCAGGTGAGCCAGGATCCTATGCCTGGAAAGCGGAGCCACGCAAGTTCGAGGTGAGCCGGGACCCCATGCGGGTCCTGGTTGCGCGCCCAGCCGCCAGGGGGCGAGTGGCGGCGGGGCTCCGGGGGCGGCCCCCTCCCAGCATAGGGGATCTGGGCGTCCGCTCGGCGGGGTTGGGGGGGAAGGGGGCGGTAAATCAGTAACTCGGAGCGCACACAGGGCCTTTTGTCCCGTTCCGTCCAAAGAGCACCCTGGCCGCGGGCTGGTTACTCATTGCCCACCCAGGCGGGGGCGGGCCGGCTGTCTGCAACTCCCCTCGGGACCGCCGACTCGCACCTCCCCCACAAGGTGACCAGGTAGGGCTTGGGGCGGAAGAGCTCGCTCGTCCCTGGGCCGCGGGACCGTCCGCGCACCGGGCGTAGAGATGAGGAAGCCGAGGCTCTGAGTGTTGCAGTCCAGGGTCCTCCAGCATTTGAGTGCGGGAGGCTGGAGGAGAACCCAGAACTGTCCGATGCCAGAGTCAAGCCCTTCGGCCCATGTGCGGGGCAGTTGGTCAGTGGCCAGCAGCCACGGGTGACCCGACTAAGGACCCTGAGGATGTGAGGTCAGGGCGTACTGGGGACAGAAATAAAACCCCTGGGCCTCCCCACCCCACTCCCAGCGGGAGCTTTGGACCCGGAGAACTGTCTCCCTGCGGAGCAGTGACGCAGTAGCAGGATATTAGGAGGAACGGCCAAATGAACCTGGGGGCTGGGGGTGGGAGTTCAGAGACAGCGGTATCTGAGCTAGGTGGAGAAAAGGAATGAGGGGCAAGGAGGCACGGGCAAGAGAGCAAACGTACCCAGTTTTGAAAGCCAGGGGCGACAGTACGACCAAAGAGATAGACAAGGGCAGAGGGAGGCCTAGAATGCTGGATAAACAGCATGAACTGGGTCCTGCTGGACACAGGTAACCATTAAGACTTGTAAGCTGAGGGCTGACATGGCAGACTTATATATATATAAGGGTGTCTTAGCATATATAAAATATATATATATATATATATTTTTTTTTTTTTTTTTTTTTAAGATGACCAGTAAAGGGATCTTAACCCTTGACTTGGTGGTGTCAGCACCACGCTCACCCTAGTGAGCCAACCGGCCATCCCTATATAGGGATCCGAACCTGTGGCCTTGGTGTTACCAGCATCACACTCTCCCAAGTGAGCCACGGGCCGGCCCAAGCAGACTTGTATTTTTTAAAGACCTGCTGGAGGCCAAAGAGCCCAGGGAGATGTTTGCAAAGGAGCAAGCAAGAAATGACCATGACCTGCCTTGGGTAGGGGCAGTAGAGGCAGAATAGATTGGAGAGGGATTGATGAGGCAGAATGGACTGGAAGTAGGGTGGCAGTAGCTAAGGAGAAGGGTGTGTGATGGGCTTCCTGGGCAGGGTAAATCCAGAGACACCAGTGCCACCTGGCTGATCCCCAGCCCCAGGTATCAGCCAGTAGGCCCCAGGTATCAGCCAGTAGAACATTGGTCACCCTATTCCCATGCCCCAGCTGAGGCTCAGTTCTGAGTGTTCCCTTTCGGTAACACAGACACCTTTGGTAGCATTTGGGAAAAGGTAACTGGCTGGGGTGAATGTGTACAACTTACCTGAGAGGAATAGAAGCGGGGGTGACTGAACTAGGACAGACGCATGGTGACAGGCAAACAGTCATAGGGAGGGGGGTGGAGAGGAGAACATTTCAATATTCTGTGTGCCCGGTCCCTGCATATATTATCTTTTTTATCCTCAAAGCAGTCCTATGAGGATAGTCGCCCGGAGAGGGACAGAGACAGGGACTTGCAAGTTGGTAAGAGGCAGGATTTGAACTTGGCTGTCTGACATTCCTTACAAAACCCTATGTTGACTCAGATGGAGCTGTAGGGGCACAACAAGCAGAGGTATCCCCAGGATGTAATTCTGGTTCAAAATAAAGAGGAGAGCTTCCTGCTATACACGGAAGGTGCTGCTTTGTTAATTGTGAGCGCCCAGCCACTGGAGGTATTCAGAGCTGGTCATGGAAATGTCAGTAATGTTATAAGGAGTGGGGGTCAGATCAGATAACATCCAGATGCTGAAGTTTGGCCTTATATTATATTTCACATTTTTTTTTGGCTCTTCAGCAGTAAATTTATTTATTCAGCAAAAAAAATATTATGTGTGCGGAGAGCAAGCAAAAGATATGTCTCCATTCTCTGCTTCCCTCCAAGGAAAGAATCCCAAAACCGCTCTTTCTATGAACTTGTGCCAGGGTCTCAGCAGGACCCAAAGAGAGCAGGAAGCCAAGCCCAGCCCCCTTGCACAACCTACTGTGGGGAGCCTGTGGGTTCTGGAACCAGCAGAGCCCAAGGTTCCGGACTCTGCCCTGCCGCTGCCTGGCTGGAGGCTTGGATAAGTCTGCTGACCATTTCCTGTCTTGGTTTCCTCATCAGCAAAATGAAGGAATAGCTCCAGCAAAGGTGCATGTGTGGCAGGAGCTCTTTTCCTTCCCTGTTTTAGGAAGTAGGAAGTCCAGCCTGGGTCCCTGAGAGCAGCAAGAAGGAGATGCGACTGCTGTTGGCCCTGCTGGGTCTCCTGTTGGAGGCAACCAGGGCTCCAGCCTTGTCCCTTGAGGCCTCTGAGGAAATGGAGCTGGGTATGGCCTCTAATGTGGGAGAGGGTGGCAGGGGTGGGAAGAGTGGGCACCAGGAGGAGACTGCTGGCTGAGCAAAGCTGGAGAGGATCCTGGCCCAGCCCTGAGAATGTGGCGACAGGGCAGGGCTCAACCATTGAGATTCAGTGTCTGGCTCCCAGTAAGCATCCACCTGTCTCTGTGTCTGCGAGAGAGGACTGGCCTTGCAGGGCGCAGGGTCCTAAGCTGGGCTGCAGAGCTGGTGGTGAGCCCCTTGGCTGTGTGCGTGTGTGTGTGTGTGTGCGTGTGTTCTGTGCACTGGATGTGTGATTTAGAAGGCCCAGGCAGCATGTGTGGTATATGCACTGTGAGTGTGATGTACCCCAAAGGTGTGGCATGTGCCCTGTATGTGGCACCTATAGCATGTGCCTGTGTGTGCTTGTGTATGTGTGCGTGTGTCTTAGCATGTGTGTGACATGCCCCAGGAATGTGGCGTTTGCCCTACATGTAGCATTTGTGGCATGTGGTTGTGTATGTGTCAAGGAGCAATGGCTTGTCCAGCATGTGTCATGAGGTGCTTGTGACATATATGTGCAGCATGTTCTCCATATGCAGGGGACTGCCTCAGGTGGAACTGTGGGGCTCACTGACCTCTGCCATCTGCCCATAGAGCCCTGTCTGGCCCCCAGCCTGAAGCAGCAAGAGCAGGAGCTGACTGTGGCCGTTGGGCAGCCTGTGCGGCTGTGCTGTGGGCAGGTTGAGCGTGGTGGCCACTGGTATAAGGAGGGCAGCCGCCTGGCACCTGCTGGCCGGGTGCGGGGCTGGAGGGGCCGCTTGGAGATTGCCAGCTTTCTACCGGAGGATGCTGGCCCCTACCTCTGCCTGGCACGAGGCTCCATGATTGTCCTGCACAATCTCACCTTGATTGTGGATGGTAAGAGGGTCTGGCAGGAGGTTAAAGAATGCCTGGGGAGAGAAACCTCCCCCTCTTGGGCCTCAGACACCTCCCTCTGTCCCTAACTTAGACTCCTTGACCTCCAGCAATGATGATGAAGACTCTAAGTCACATAGGGGCTCCTCAAGTGGGCATGTTTATCCCCAGCAAGGTCAGTATGAGTCCTCAAGGACTCATATCTCCCATCTGGTCGCTGAGAAAAAGAGACGTGGGAGCAAGTGGTCATCCTTGGGGCACTAAGTCCTCCCTTCCCCTCCCTTCCAGCACCCTACTGGACTCACCCCCAGCGTATGGAGAAGAAACTGCATGCAGTACCCGCTGGGAACACCGTCAAGTTCCGCTGTCCAGCTGCAGGCAACCCCACACCCACCATCCGCTGGCTCAAGGATGGACAGGACTTCCATGGGGAGAATCGCATAGGAGGCATTCGGGTGAGTCTCCAGGTTCCAAGACCATCTGCTTTCCCATTTTCATTCTTCTGTGGGTCTACCTCATACCTATAAATCAAACATGCCTATAAATAAGTCTAACAAGGAAGACAACTATGGAGTTCCACAGGGAGCCCTAGACTGTGGACTTGGACAGCTCTGGTTCAAGTTCCCATTCTGCCACTCCCTGGCAAATGACTTAACCTCTCAGCCTTAGCAACTCCATTTATAAAGTGGGAGGAATCAGTTACTGGTAGTTATCAAGAAGCTTTAGTATCTCATTCTCATGGTGAGACCCTACAAGATCAGCTGCATGCTATGGGAGGAAGCTGAGACTTAGAGAGAGCGAAGATTGGCTCAAGGTGGCACAGCTAGGGAGAGGAGAGGTAGAACTAAAACTCAGAAGACTTAAACCAGAGATTGGACACTTTTTGGAGCCTTCTCTTTTGTTCCAAGGTCCCTGGCCTTGGCCTGACCTTCTCAAGGCCTAAAGAGCTTGAGAAGAGCCCTGTTGGGAGAATCTAGCCTCTTCCCGCCCTGGTCCTTGGGTGGACATGGTTCGGTGGTCCCACGTGGACACTTCCTCTGCCCCCAGCTGCGCCACCAACACTGGAGCCTGGTGATGGAAAGTGTTGTGCCCTCGGACCGTGGCACGTACACCTGCCTCGTGGAGAACTCTATGGGCAGCATCCGCTATAGCTATCTGCTGGATGTGCTGGGTGAGCGGATGGGCAGGGGGGGTCATGTAGGGGTGGGAGGCCCTGGCCTTAGGCTCAGTCCTGCCCTCAGGTAGAGCCCAGTCTGGCAGGCAAGATGGAATAAGTCCTAGATGGGTCAAGCAGTTCAAAGTGACCAGGTGGGTCAGAGGGAAGCACAGTGGTTAGTGTGGGCCTGGAGGAGCAGGGGTCTGCTGAGAGGAAAAGTGAGAAAGACATCCAAGCAGAGGGCACAGGCAGAGTTAAGGCTGTGGTATAAAGAATGCAATGCTTTTGCGGGGAGGTGTATGCCTGAGGCATGGCATTGATGTGGGGAGCCAGGCTGTGGAGCGTTTTAAATGCTAGGCTGAGAAGTTGTTCTTGGCCCTACGGCAGTGGGGAGCCATGGAAGGTTTAAGCAGAGTAAGCAGGAGATGGACAAGGTCTGAGCTGCATGTCAGAGAGGACTCCCCTTGAGCTGGGGGAAGGCTGGAGGCTGGTGAACAGGGTGCCTCTATGGGTGCTGCTGGTCAGGGTTGACGGCCCGGCCTGGCCCCCAGAGCGGTCCCCGCACCGGCCCATCCTGCAGGCGGGGCTCCCAGCCAACACCACAGCTGTGGCAGGCAGCGATGTGGAATTGCTGTGCAAGGTGTACAGCGATGCCCAGCCCCACATCCAGTGGCTGAAGCACATCGTCATCAATGGCAGCAACTTTGGTGCTGACGGCTTCCCCTATGTGCAAGTCTTGAAGGTACAGCTCCTGCTAGTGCCTGAGCCCTACTATTCTCCCACGGGGAGTGCGGGGGAGTCCCCAGCTTCCCTCCTAGCCACAATGTGGCCCCAGGACCTGCTGTGACCCCTGAGTGTGTCCCTTGTGCCCAGACTGCAGACATCAATAGCTCAGAGGTGGAAGTCCTGTACCTGCGGAATGTGTCAGCCGAGGATGCAGGCGAGTACACCTGCCTGGCGGGCAACTCCATTGGCCTCTCCTACCAGTCAGCCTGGCTCACAGTGCTGCCAGGTGAGCATCAGAGGGGGCCAGGAGAGGCTGCAGATTCCACTCTGATCTAGAGTGGGCTATGATGGCCTGTTGGGTTGACAATCTCCCTTGGCTTGTGGGGTCTGGGCTTGGGATGCAGCGTGTGGATTTGTGTGTTTGATTCTGTGCATGGCAGTCCCTCTGTGCCTGTCTACATGTGACTGTCCATGTGACCCTCTGGGGTATGGGTGTCTGGGACTGGGTATAACTGCAGCTTTCGTAGTGTGTGTGTGTTCCTGTGTGTGTTGGGAGCTATAAGGGTGTGAGGCTGGCCAGTCAGACCACTGACCAATCAGTTTTCCTATCTGTGCATGTCCACCTGCGAGTGTAGAGGAGGACCTCACATGGACAGCAGCAGCACCTGACGCCAGGTATACAGACATCATCCTGTATGTGACAGGCTCCCTGGCTTTAGCTGTTCTCCTGCTGCTGGCCGGGCTATATCGAGGGCAGGCGCTCCACAGCCGGCACCCCCGCCAGCCCGCCACTGTGCAGAAGCTGTCCCGCTTCCCTCTGTCCCGACAGGTACTGTGCCTATCCCCAACCCCCATGTCCCCGTAATGAGGCTGTCAGTCTAACTCCAGCAGTCAGAGCCAAGTCTCCCACTTTGCAGTTCTCCCTGGAGTCGGGCTCCTCAGGCAAGTCAAGTTCATCCCTGGTGAGAGGCGTCCGGCTCTCCTCCAGCGGCCCCACCCTGCTCTCTGGCCTCGTGAGTCTAGACCTGCCTCTCGACCCGCTGTGGGAGTTCCCCCGGGACAGGTACACTGAGCGGAGTGAGGGTGAGGATGCAGGGTCCATGTAGGAACCTGCCCTTAGCAGGAGTGATGCTCAGAGTTCTGAGGCATGGGCTTTCTTGATGTCCAGGCTGGTGCTTGGGAAGCCCCTGGGTGAGGGCTGCTTCGGGCAGGTGGTGTGTGCAGAGGCCTTCGGCATGGACCCTGCCCGGCCTGACCAAGCCAGCACCGTGGCGGTCAAGATGCTCAAGGGTGAGTGTGGCCTTGGGACTAACAGAAGGACTCACAGTGGTGCCTGGTGAGCATTGGAAGCCAGGAGAGGCTGCAGGATCCCACCCTTAGGCCTGCAGCCCAACTCTGCTACTGACCCTGGCAAGTCACTTATGAGTTTCAGTTTCCCCTTGTGTCACATGAGATACCTACCTCCCAGGCCAAGGTTCGTGGAAAGTGGCTGGCACATAGTCAGGGCTCAATAAATCTTAACTACTGGGGTGATCATGACTATGAGAATTGGGGGTGACTAGGGCTTGGTATCCGCTACCAGCCCTGGTCTGTGTCAGCCTTCGCCTTATAGCTCCTTGACAGCCTCATAGGCCCTTTGCTTCATTCCCTGTGGTTCCCCTAAATGCACACTCAGCCTCCCCTGTAACCTTCCCAGGTCTGGCCTCCTGTGCCCACCACTCGAGAGTGGCCCTTCTGCTAAAGCTCAGGGCCAGACCCCAAGCAGCGGCCCCAAGGTGTTCTGCAGAACACACTTAGGACTTGCTCATGAGGGCCTCTCACTGCTGTGCCCCAAACCCCTCTGCAAGAATGGCCCAAATTGCCATTCTCCTCCCTCCCTCTTCTCCACACAGCTGGGGCCACCTGGCACTTTCTGGGAGGCAGGGATTGAGAAATGTGCATTGGGAGACCTGTCATGGTGGTCGGGGGAGGATGTTATGTCATTGGCTCATGGCCACAGGTCAGCCCCAGGGGCCCAGTCTCTGCTCCTCGGCCTTCTCAAGAGAAGCAGGAGCAGCCTTCTTCCCAGCCTTCCCTAGCTGTGCCCTGCCGGCAGCTCCCTGAATTCCCAGGCCAGATGAACACCAGGGCCTGTCAGACAGACCTGAGGGCTCCAGCCTGCTTCCCGCCCCTAGGAGCTCTCACCCTATTCAGGGACTAAAGCCAGCCCCCTCCAGAGGCACCTTCCTTCCTGTTCAGAGCTCTTCGCCCTCTCTCCTGTCTCCTAGAGACCTGCTCACAGGAAGGTCTACCTCTTTGTTTCTTTATTTCTATTTTTTAGTGGCTGGCTGGTATGGGGATCCAAACCCTTGACCTTGGTGTTATAACATCAAGCTCCAACCAACTGAGCTAACCAGCCGGCCCTCCCTCTTTTAGATCCTTGCATCTGCTGAGAGGTAGGGCATAATCCACTGTGCTACTTCAGACGAGATGACCCTAAATTCCAGAAAGGTTAGGAGACTTTCTTAAGGCCGCACAGCCTTGTGGGGATTCAGCCCCCAGAGCTACCTGATAACCCCCGGTCTGGTGCTCCTTGGCCTTTTCCCCACCCTGCAGCCTCCCTTGTGTAGTTGGAGGGCAGCTTCCTCATCCCAGATGTTGCCCTTGCAGATAATGCCTCTGACAAGGACTTGGCAGACCTGGTCTCTGAGATGGAAGTGATGAAGCTGATCGGCCGACATAAGAACATCATCAACCTGCTGGGTGTCTGCACCCAGGAAGGTGGAGCAGGGGCAGGGCTAGGGGTGGGGGCAGTTGAGGTGCAGAGTCATAGCCTCAGCAGCTTCCTCGTCCCCCCGCCTCGCCTCCATAGGGCCCCTGTATGTGATCGTGGAGTGTGCTGCCAAGGGAAACCTTCGGGAATTTCTGCGGGCTCGGCGCCCACCCGGCCCTGACCTCAGCCCCGATGGGCCACGGAGCAGTGAAGGGCCACTCTCCTTCCCAGCCCTGGTCTCCTGCGCCTACCAGGTGGCCCGCGGCATGCAGTACCTGGAGTCACAGAAGGTACGGGCAGTGGACAGCACTCTGGAGCCACTCTAATTCCTCCATCTCCACGCTCTCGTGGCTGTGGCATTAGTGTCCCCAACTTCTTCCTCTCTCCCCTTTTTCATTATCCTGTCCAAATGTCCCCTAGTCCTTCGTGCCCTTCCCCCTCATCCGTATACAGCTGACACTGCATGTCCCCATTCATTCCTCACATATTCCCTAACTGATAGGCAAGGCCAGGGAAGAGTGACGCAAGAGAGAAGCCATGGGCCCTGAAGTTAGACTTGGGCTTCTTTCTGAATCTCGACTTCCTCATCTGTAAGATGGGTGGGTGATTCCTACCCCTTAGGCACGTGCACCATGCCATGTGTCCTAATAAACCTAAGTCTCCTTCCCATCCCCTGCTCCGCCCCCAGTGCATCCACCGAGACCTGGCTGCCCGCAATGTGCTGGTGACTGAGGACAATGTAATGAAGATTGCTGACTTTGGGCTGGCCCGTGGTGTCCACCACATTGACTACTACAAGAAAACCAGCAACGTGAGGGAATCAGAGCAGAGCTGGATAGGGGGTAGCTGGGGCTGAGCCTGGGGGCAGCCGGCACAGGGACTGTGGGACTCAGCACCAGTACCCCTCCTCTCCCCTCCAGGGCCGCCTGCCTGTCAAGTGGATGGCACCTGAGGCCTTGTTTGACCGAGTGTACACACACCAGAGTGACGTGTGAGTCCTGGAAGCTGGGAGTCCAGGATGTCTGCCAGCAATCATTGTCCTACCCTGCAAGGCACTTGCCCAGTGTCATATGTCCCTAGGGGTTCTGCACTCAAGACCTCCTTCTGATCAGGCCTGGGACCTGAGTGGGACAGACTCAAAAAGAAGCCCAATCCCTGCCTCCCTCCCATGGTGTATTATGCCTGAAGGGTCCCCCATCCCAGCCCCCAGGAGTAGGGAGACAAGCTGTGCCCTGCTGAGCCCTGGTCCTGCCTCCAGGTGGTCGTTTGGGATCCTTTTGTGGGAGATCTTCACCCTCGGGGGTTCGCCATATCCTGGCATCCCTGTGGAGGAGCTGTTCTCGCTGCTGCGGGAGGGACATCGGATGGACCGGCCCCCGCACTGCCCCCCAGAGCTGTGAGGCCTCACCCCGCCTTAGTCCTCATCCTCTGCCCTCATGCTGGCCTCTGGGTTTGGCCCTGGCTATAAGGGCAGCACTAACTCTCACCACCACCTCCTTCCCCTCCTCCTCAGCCCAGCGGGAAGTGCTGGCCCAGCTTTCCTGCCCTTCCACTGAATGGCCCCACCTACCCCTCATCAACACCCCCACCCCAGGGCTGCGAGATTGCACTCCCACGCCTGAGGCTCCTTCCACTCTCCCAGGTATGGGCTGATGCGTGAGTGCTGGCACGCCGCACCCTCTCAGAGGCCCACATTCAAGCAGCTAGTGGAAGCACTGGACAAGGTCCTCCTCGCTGTCTCTGAGGAGGTACTGCCCCCCTCCTGTCCCATGGCCTCCTTCTTCTTGTTCCCCTCTGGGCCTCATCTGACCTGACCCCATGGACATGAAGCATCCTGTTCCTGGTCGCTGCCAGCGCTGACCAACTCTGTTCCCCACAGTACCTTGACCTCCGTCTGACCTTTGGACCCTACTCCCCCTCCAGTGGAGATGCCAGCAGCACCTGCTCCTCCAGTGACTCTGTCTTCAGCCATGACACCCTGCCGTTGGGACCCAGCTCTTTCCCCTTCCCTGGGGTACAGACATGAGCATGGGCACAAAGTTGTGTGAGCAGGTAGGCCAGTGGCCTTGGGCTCCTGGCTCAGCCACAACCTGGTCCAGTGCTTGACCTTGACAGCCCTGGGCCTCTGACCTCAGAGTGCTGTCCCAGATCTCTAGGATCCACTTTGGGAAGGTCCATTCTTGGTCCTGGGGTTTCTAGTTAAGCCTTACTGCTCTGGCCTTAGGTTCCCAGCCCAGAATTCAACCCCAGTCTCAGGCCCTGCCCTTGCCCTTGGAGTTATGGTACCAGTGTCCTAACTGCCCAAGTGTTGGGGTTCTGCTTGGCCTCCTGGGCTTTGGCGCCTGGTCTCCATCTAAGGGGTTTGGCTGGGCCTGGCTGCAGAGCTGCTGTCCTAAACCTCCCTGCTTCCCAGCACCAACTGAACCCCATTTCCCCAAGACCCCACCCCCACTGCTTGTCCCAGCATTTTGGTGAAAGACACATTGGCTCTTGTCCCCTTGAGAGGCTGGAAAGTCTACCAAAAACAGAGGAGCAAATGACCTTTTATAAATTATTATTTTTTAAATAAACCTGTTTGCCCGATGTCTTCCCTGAGGGGCATGGAGGGGATATAGGGTGGAGGGAGCCCGTAAGCTGGGAGTTCTGCCTGAATGACACAGACTAAGGGCTCTGTGCCAGGCCTTGGGTTTGCATCCACCTCCAGCTGCCCCAGGATGGACCCAGGAGCTGTCTTGTACATCTGTCCTACTGGCACCATCTTGTGTATGCAATGGTGTGAATGAGTGTTAACGGGCAGAGGAATCCACACTACAGCATCCACAGGGCGGGACTCCTGTACCCTCTGCACATGCGTGTGCATGCATGCTTGCCCTGCAGATGTCCCCAAGGGAGCTGGCAGCCCCCCTCCCCCATCTGCTCAGCATTAAAAGTTGACCGTTAACAGCATGAAAACCTGAAACCAAGCCCCAAGCTGTTGCCTGTTCCCACGCTCTGCTGGCTCAGGCTGGGGGCTTGTGAGGGCCGTGCCCACCCCACCTCACCCTGTCCAGTCTCCTGGGCGGCAGCTGGCTGCCACCCAGCTGGGCTGCAGCTGTCCCTGCCTGCCTGGTCCTCCCCTGTGGAGGCTGTCATAGCCCTGTTTTCAAGCCCCCTCAGAGGGATCAGCTTCCCAGGGTTCTGAGCCTTGAACCTTCCCTGGCTCCATCCAGTCAGTTACTGCTGCTCCCCAGCCCTAAATCTTGGGATGGACCATGGGAAGTCCCAGACATGGTGCCTGACCCACTGCTTGGTGCTTTCCTGCCCTGTTCTTGCAGGCCCCAGGCCTGAGACAGGACTGCCCAACCAGGACACCCTTTATGGAGGCCTCCTGGACTGCCCCCATGGGCTCCCAGGGATTGGTGACTGAAAATACATAAAGGGTCAAAGGGACTGGATATAAGATTTGAGTCTGGGTCCTCAACCTGGGCTGCCCAGGAAGACAGCAGCAGCTAATGACCACCCTCTGTCCCTACTCTGGGTCTCCTCGCACCCCCAACCATGGCCTCTCTGGTTCACCATGTCCCAAACTGAACTACTCATCTCCCCCTGAAAACTGAACCTTGTCCAGGGCAGAAACTACGAAGTCACCCAGACCACTACCTTTCCCAGACGAACAGTATTCCCTGAAGAGGTGGAAAGAACACCGGGTTTGGAGCCAGGAGGTTCAAATCTTGCCACTTCTAGTGTCCGGCTATGGTACCTGAGGTCGACACTGCCACTTCTCTCTTGGTTACTTTCTTTACCCATATAGTGGGGTGCTCCTGCCCTGCCTGCCTCCCAGGGCGTAGGGTTTAGGATGAAACAAGACGTGGAGTTACCCACGCTTAGGGAATATGTTGGGTTCTCACGGGTTATGCTGCAGTGTTTCACTGGGAACCAGTGCTTAGGTTTTTGTGTTCCTGAGTGCCCTCCTCCCCAGCCCAAAGTCTCCAGTGTCCCTTTTTCTCCCACTCCCCCGAAGGTGGCTCCAGAGGCAACTTCCAAAATCAGCTCTTTGCTTATGCTTTTTCCTGTGCTCAAGGACCCCCACTGGCTCTCTGGAGTCCCCAAACTTTCTGACTGAGCCCCACTCCCAATGTTAGAGTCTCCCATTGGAGGTCACTGGCCAGTGCCTGTGTCCTTCACCAGTCCAGCCAATCACAGGAGAGGCAGATCCCTCAGATCTCTCCTGGGGAAGGGGAAGCAAAGGGTTGGGAGGCTAGGATGAGTATAAGGACAAGAGATGTGGAATGAGAGCCCCCATTTTCCACTTTCCCACCATGAGTCCACTGCAGTGCTGGTTCAGCCACCTACACTCTCCCTCACCATAGCCTCACCAGATAAAGATTATGCTTTCCACTGAATGGTGGAGAAGCTGAGGGATGCAACAGGTTCAGGGTCACAAGAATGGTGCTCCAGGAAGAATCAGGCTGAAATCTGCCCCACAAGGTTTCCAGCAGGTCCTGTGCACATTGGAACCCAGAGCCAGGTCGCTCAGAGTGACAGTGGCAGCTGCTGCCTGGTAGGTCCTGGGGGCCAGGAGGGGTTCAGCTGCCCACCCTGTGCTTCCTCCCTGCCAGCGTCCCTGGCAGGCACACGCTTGCTGGGGCCGTTCCACATTCCTGACGTCCCATGTCAGAATAAGACAGATGCTACTAATTCCCCTGTGCAAGTTTCACAGCTCCATCTCCCCTCCCCTCCTCAGCCTGCTCTGGGCAGCAGGGTAGCAGCTGGGGCCTGGCCCCCTCGGTCTGCGTGTGTTCTGAGTGCCCTCCTAGCCAGTGACAGGAGCCCATAGGAGAAGCACTGGGCCTACCTCCAGACTCTGTCACTTGCGGGCTGTGTGGATCAGTCAGGCCTCTGGTGGGAACAACAGACAGACAGCCATTCTGATTTGGGAAGTCCCTGCAGAGGGACGAGAAGCTGCTTGCTGGGAAATCGACCTCTGGGAGAGAGGGTCAGGTTGTGCGCAGTGTGGGAGGGGTGGTGCTACGACCAAGTTGCCCTCTCTGTGCCTCCATTTTCTGACCCTACCCGTAACACAGGAATGACAACACCAGAGAGTGGTTCTAAGTGCTCAGTAACACAGGAATGACGACAGCAGAGATTGGTTTTAAGTGCTCAGTAAACAACAGCTGTTGTGACACAGGGATTAGGAGGGAATGAGCTGCAGGGGCGATTGCTATGTGGGTGCCCTGGTCTCATTCCCTTCTCGTGGCAGCCCTTCCAGGAAAGCATTCCTGTCCCCATTTCCCAGATGAGGACACTGAGGACCAGAAGGAAGAAGTGACTGGTCCAAGGTCACATGGGTAAAGTAGGAGAGTTGGTGATTAAGGCCAGGTGCTCTGTCCCACTGCAGAGCTCATTTCCACGCCCCAGGCAGCCTGGAAGTTCTGAGGATCAGAAGAAGCTCTGAGTGTGCACAAAGCAGGGGACATCTGTCAGCGGGATGTCCACACACACAGATAGACAGTTATGATGCCCAAGCCTAGATGTACCCAGGCTCAATGCTTTGGGCTCCAGCCCTATTGCCTTTGGTCCCTGGCATCTCAGAGCCCTTCCATGGGCTGTTTCTTCCTGGGGACACTCTTCCTCCCACCTCATCTGGCCAAGCTCTACTGGCCCTTTAGATCTCACCCAAACTTCATTTCTTTTTCTTTTTCTTTTTTTATTTTTAAAGATGACCAGTAAGGGGATCTTAACCCTTGACTTGGTGTTGTCAGCACCACGCTCTCCCAAGTGAGTAAACCAGTAAGGGGATCTTAACCCTTGACTTGGTGTTGTCAGCACCACGCTCTCCCAAGTGAGTAAACCGGCCATCCCTATGTGGGATCCGAACCTGTGGCCTTGGCGTTATCAGCACCGCACTCTCCCGAGTGAGCCACGGCCGGCCCAGACTTCATTTCTTGAGACGCCTCTTCAAGCCCTCCAGGTCAGCCTCCAGGTCAGCCTCCAGGCTGAACCCCTCATTCAGAGACTCTCACTGCTGTAATGAAGGGAGACTCTAAATAGTCCCCTGCCCCGCAACTGTGAGCACGAGGAAGCAAGCATCGCTTTGATAGGTTTTTAAAATCAGTGGTTCTGAAATGGTAGCATATGTCAGAGTTACCTGGAGGGCTTGGATTTCTGGGCCCCACCCCAGAATTTTATATTTAGTAGATCTTGAGTGAAGCCCGGGAATTTGCATTCCTAACAAGTTCCCAGGTGATGCAGAGCCTGCTGCTGGTCTTGGGAGGGCTTGAGGGGGTACGGTTCACAATTTGGGAACCACGGTTTTTTTTTTTTGTCTTTTTCCGTGTCCGGCAACGGATCGCAACCCTCAGTGTTGCCCCCGTACCGGACCGGGGACCGGCAACGGGATCGCAACCCTCGGTGTTGCTCCCGCGCCTCACTCAGCCAGTGAGCGGGAACCGGTCCGCATGTGGGATCCGAACCCTCGGGCGGGAGCGCTGCCGCGCTTCCCAAGCGGTGCACTATCCAGTGCGCCACCGGGTCGGCCTGGGAACCACGGTTTTAAAGAGTCAATTCATGTACATGGTTTAAACAATTAAAAAAAACTCCAATGGTACAAAAAAGTTTTCAATAAAAAGCAACCCCCTTGCTCCCCTACCCAGGGGAAGCTGCCTCCATTCTCTGAGTTTTCTTGCACGGCCCCTTCACATGCTTTTGTAGCCTGTGATCCAGTTTAGCTGCTACCATTCTTGCTCCCCCCACCTCAGACCCCCACCCAGGGCATCACCTGGCAGAACTAGGGTGCAGTAAAGTGTTTGTTAAATGAAGGGATGAAGGAGACTCATTCCCAGGTACAGGCACAGTCAGGTGTGCACAGTTACGCCTGTGCACACTCAGCCCCCCACTGTCCACCCCTTCCCATACTCCTGGGACCCTAACTGGGAGCCCCCCCTCACCCCTCCACCTGCTGTAGGATTTGGCCTAATCCTGGAGTATGTGTATGAGGCAGCTGCAGCTCTCTCTAGGGGGAAACGGGTTTCCCTCTGGAGGAAATCTCCTTTTTATTCTCTTGCTACCGAAATCTGACCTTCATCGGCACCTGGGCTCCGTGGCTGGGGCCTGTCCCCAAAAAGTGGCTGAGGAGGGGGCGTGAAATCACCAACAGCTGAACTCACCCAGCTTTCCCCACATCCTCTCCAGGCTGGTCGCTGCTCACATTCCACAGTACCAGCCCTTTCCAGGCTCTCCAGTACCAGGCTCATGTTCTTGTGCTGGTACTTGGGGCCTAGCCTGACCTGGCCCTACGGACCTTACCACCTGACCCCAAGGGGTATGGCTGTGGGCTCCTTGCAGCTCTGGAACCTCCAGGCCACCCTTGTACCCTTCAGGATTCAGTTCAGTTATCCCCTCCTTCAGGAAGCCCACCCGGACCTCACAGCACGGCTTAGGCATTCCTCTTCTGTGCACAACCAGAATAACTCTTTCGTGTCTCTCTGTACCTCACCCAGGGCAGGGGCCTCATGGGACTCACGTCTGAGAACTCAGGCCCACTGCAGAGCAGGCAACCCTGAGGCTTATCAAATAACTGAATGACCTGGCA